ATAGTAAACATTCCTGAAGCCCTATATTTCAGTTCACAAATTCATGCTGTGAGACAAATGATAATGTGTTTCTCCTCCATTAGAACTTTGATTTACTGAAATATTTTAGGATAAAATGATATGAAATTTGCTTCAAAATAATCTTATTGGGGGAATGAGATGAAATGAGTAGGGGAAGAGATGAAAAAAGTTGGCCCTGAGTTGATACTTGATGAAGCCTAGTGATGGGGGTATGGTGATTCCTTATACCATTTTCTCTGCTTCTGTATGTGTTTGAAAATTTCCAAATACAAAGTTAAAAATTAAAAGCAACCTAATGTCAAAACCGTACTTAATCCAAAGAAATCCATTACGTGGTGAAATTTCTGATAATTGTGTTAACAGGTGAAGGAGCCACTTGGGGGCACAGAATTTCTCCAAATCATAATCGGTTCTTTTGCTTTCATGTATATATATGAAATACATATATTTCATACACAGCACTAACTTTTTTTTTTTATCAGAAAGTGTCTCAGTTGCTTTAAGATAGAATTAATTTGGATGTTTATTGTACAAATATTTTGGAAGACTGGACTTCTAAAAATGAAGCCTTGATTCTCTTAAATATCCTCTTACTTTAGGTAAGCATAAAGAAATCTCAGAACACTTGTGATATGAAATATGTTCTGAGGTAAAATAATGTTATAGTTACAAAACAATGCTAATCTAGCTGATTATTATTTCAAAGTTTAAATAAATATTTGATTATGGACAGAAGGTAAAATTACATGGCAATAATAGTTAACACTTTTTAAAAAGTAAATGGTAATTTCTGAAATTTGTCACTCTTATATTGCTATATAAAACTTTAGGTAAAAAAAGATTTTTAACCTTTCAAAGTGAGCAAATGCAGAAACAATAGTGTTGCTACATTAACTCTTCAAATATTAACCACTAAGTATTCTTTAGTGTTTTCCAGTTACTCATTAACCATTTTATACTGTTATTGTTTCTCTAGTTGTTGGTGATTTCCACCAGGGAAAGTTGAAAAACATTTTTCTAAATCAGAAAAATGGTCAGATTTATTAACAACATCCCCCTTGCTCACCATTTATTCATTGTTAAAAGTCCACTATGTATTTGGGACCTATAAATCCTACTTCAAAAATTAAACCCAGGGGCGCCTGGGTGGCTCAGTGGGTTGAGCCTCTGCCTTCGGCTCAGGTCATGATCTCAGGGTCCTGGGATCGAGCCCTCCATCGGGCTCTCTGCTCAGCAGGGAGCCTGCTTCCCCCCTCTCTCTCTGCCTGCCTTTCTGCCTACTTGTGATCTCTCTCTCTCTCTCTCTCTGTGTAAAATAAATAAATAAAATATTAAAAAAAAATTAAACCCAAAGTTATGCTGTTGTGCAGTTTATGGTTCCTTGTGTATGACTTTATTGCCCTCAACATTTCCCTGGTGTAAACTACTGAGCAAAGGAACAAGATTTCTTTTGTAACTGATACCTAGATTTCTATTCTGCTTTAAGCGTCTAATTTGCACTGCGAAGACATATAATTTGAGACATGTAGCTATATCATGAAAGTCTCTAATTTTCTTAGTTGTACTGGCTATAATTTAAATTTTTTGCATGATTTTAACTGCAATGCAAACCAGTATACATCAGAAACCTTTGTATATTGACAGCGACTGGGAAAAGGATGCCTTGTTCCGATTTCAGATAAGCATTCCCTTTTTACAACTGCAGGTGCAAGGGAGCCCATTCATAGTATTTACTTCAAACCAATTACAGTTACTGAATGGAAATACAATGCTATTACATGAGAACTTGACTGATCTTTACAAGCACAATGAATATTTTAAATATACTATTAGTAGTAAATTCTAGAGGCAAGTAGCATGTTTTGTCTAGGTACTGGGGACAAAATATACTCTGTTGACACAGCCTTGATCATTTTGCTTTTGTGTGTATATGTGTGTGTATTTACTAAATCTAGAAAAATACTTCATCACATATTAACACAAGGTGGAATTATACTCAGTGGAAAATCTGCTGCAATCAATGCATAGTTCCACTGAAGAGATAATTGATAATGAACGTTACTATTTCCTCTGCCTTCAAATTCATTTATTTTGAAATAAACATATAAGCCAAAAAATAACCACAAGATAAAAATTTACTCTAATTGCTCTCATTTCACATAACTGGGTAAATCTTTTGGAACAAATATTAGACAACTATATATGCAACAAATGAGTGAAGCTAACTGGATATTTACAGTTAAGCTCTTATTTGTAAGATTATGACTTGATTGTTTTTATTAGCTTCAGGCAGAAACATGGCACATCAATTCGAAGCATAAGAGAAAATTTTGGTCTACAAAACAATTACAACTCTACTTCAACAGGCAAGTTCAGAGAAACGTGCTAACAGAATTTAAGGGTTTGATGACTAAAGGCAGATAAAGCAAATAAAAAAAATTGGCAATAATCATTGCATTGGCAAAAATAAATGTTTGGCCTATATTTAAAACTAAGAAGAGTTCACCCCAGATTGATGAGTACTACTATTACTTACTGTATGTTTTACTGTTTACTAACAATCCAGTACAGCCATCTTAAATTTTCATGTAATTCAAAATGCCTACATACCTTTTCATACACTATTTGACCTGAGCTTTTGTGATTTAGCATGGGAGGTACTGTCCTAATTTGTAAAATAAGGACAATATACATTATAAAAAAGTATCCTTTCCAAATCAAGGCAATTCTGATAGAAGTGGCTTGCCTGGATTGAAAGCTGTCAATCCTGGTCTAGGTTTCTGTCTCAGGGTTTCAGTCTCAGGGGCTGATCCGATTGAGAGATTAATTAGCTAGGCTTTTTTTTTTTTTTTTTTTTTTTCCCAGCTGAAAAAATGGTGACTTAAAGATGGTGACTTAAAGAGTATTTTGCGAGTGTGTTTAATTCATTCAGGCTAAGCATAATGATAGAGGAAACTTGTATGCAGCCATCCTCTTCTTTCATGGACTCAAACCCAGAAAACTCACTCCCATTGTAGCAGTGTACCCTTAGCCTTGAATCAAATGCTAGTGATAGGTGGATCTACATGCAGAAAGATGGGGGTACCCACAAAGATGCCTTTAAGGAGGATGCCTTCAAGGATGGAGCAGAGCCCCTAAACTCGCTTAGGTAAATATGACCTTTCACTTTTCCAAACTTCCATTCTATTACTGCTTCCCCCAAATCCGGGAGCAACACACAGAGTCTCCTCATACAATGTTATTGCTGTCACTCCGGGGCGCGGAAGTACTTGACACCTGGCCTCCCTCGGGCCGCCTGAATGGAGGACTCTGCCACACACCCGCCCTTCAGAAGTTCTCAGGGCGGATGGAGGCTGACATTGGGCCACTTACCTGGCCAGGATGTTCTTCGTCACAGCCCCAGACCTTTGGGGAAGAGAAGAAAACAAAAGAAAACAGAACAACTTACCACTCTGGCCCAGTCCAAGAACAACTAAAAACACCCAGGCCGCCCGAAGGAATGAGGCAGGACCTGGCCGGCAGTTTTGCAGGCAGACAAATGCGGCAGTAAAAAAAGTCAGGGCGGAGTGGCACATAATGCAAAGCAGCCCGCACCGCGCCCGCCGCCTGGCTGCTCTCCGGCTGCGCGCTGGCGACTCCTGGGCGCACCTCGGGGCCCGCGGGCCAAGTATCGCTAGGACGTTTCCCGCAGGCCCAGCAGGCGGACCCTGCGGCTCGGAGCAAGCGGTGCAGGTACGCTGGCCCGGGCACTGCTTGGCATCTCAGGGCCCCAGAGGCCCTGCCAGCTCCGCTCTGCGGGTCCCGCGATCTCCGCGAGAAGCACCTCCTCTGACGGTCAATGGCCCGGGGCGGCGACGCGAGCGAAGGCTCCGCAGCCCGCTCTGGGACAAAGAAAAGAGCTTTTGTTTCTCTCCGGCCGATGGGGCTTCTGCTGCATAAATCAGCTTAGTGAACAGCCAAACAGAATCAAACCCAAACAAAGCCCGAAGCCTGGGGGAAAAACCAGGCTAAAGTACTATCACTGGGTGATGCTGCATCTGTGGGAGGGGACGCCGGCGAGGCCGAAGGGGAAAAAAGTCGATGGCGCATCAATCAACGCGAGCTTCTTCCACAGGTGGGCAGGGAGGCCAATTCCACTTAGTTACAGCTTTGCCGCCTCATCAGCTGAGCCGCGGGCAAAGTCAAAACGGCAATGTCCTGGCTGGTGAGGGAGGAAGCGCCGGGTGCCAAGAGCTGGGGGAAACGACTCCAGCAGCACCCTAGAAGCCCCCAGCGGCGCCCGCGGACCCAGAGCGAGGCATAGCAGCTCCCCGCTGGGCCGGGAGTGGAGCGCACGGCCGCTAGCACAGGAGGGGAGGTTCCGCGAGGGTGCAGTAGCCCGGCCTTGCGGGGCGGGAGCTTCGTGCCCTCGTCCTTCTGGCCCCAGCTTGCGGCTCAGGCGTCCCGCCGTCCAGAGCCCCGGCCGCTGGCGCACTCTGGGGTGCACCCAGCGAGAAGGAGAGGGAAGCGAGGCTGGCGAGGGGCGGGGGAGCAGTGGTCCTGCTCCGGCCCCCGGGTGGGGGGGCTCCCCAAGTGCTGATAGCTGGGCGCGCTCGGGGCCGCGAGTTGCTAGGAAACCGCCCCACGCTACCCAGCGCCTCGCCCCGGCCGCCTGCAGGCGTAGCGGCGGCTCCGGCAGCGGCAGCAGCAGCAGCAACAGCTCGGAGCAGCGTGGGCGGGACATTGGTGAGGCATGAAGTCACCGCGGCCCACACTCGCTCTTTGTTTTGCTCACTCCAGCTCTTTTTCTCCCCCTTGGCGCTGATAGTTGTCATGCCCACCGTTCACAAGAGCTCCTGATGCGTAGCTGCTCAACAAGAATCTCTCCCCCTGTTCCCTTCCCCCCTCCTCGCCGAATCCTAGCACCCCAACGCTCCCCTAGCCGGTATGGAGACTCGCTCAGTACTAATGGCAGCTGCGCACAAACCCCAGCCTCTCACCCGGGCACTCTCCGCTCCTTTGTTCCGAGATACTCACTGCCCGGCAGCTGCAGCGTACAAAGTAGAGCATGTGGGGGTGGGGGTGGGGGCTCTCCCCGCCCCCAACACCCTCTGTTCCGAGGGTGCGCACTGCCAACGTTGCTTGTAGAATTAGGAGCTCACACTTTACCCCACCCCAAGACCGTCCGGCATCTCCCCAACACTTGGAGAATTGGTCCAGTCCGCAGAGGCCGTACCCGGAGCTGCTCGCTGAAATTTCTCGCGCCTCCTTCTCTCCGAGTCTCAGCCCTGGGCTGGACAGCCTTGTTCTTCCCAGGATCTGGTGGTGGCTCTGGGTTTTGCTAGTGACAGTGAGTCCTTTGACCTTAAGCGTCACCTTTCTAATAAACGGAACAAAGAAGTTACATAGTGCGGGGAAGCAGAAGAGAGAAATTAAGGAGAGGACCAGAGAGGGCGTTTCTGCCTGCTTGCAGCTCAGAAATTTAGGTGCAAAAAGGGAGCGGTATTAAGCTGGGCAACTGTCAGAGAAGCCGCGTGCCTTCTGGAATCCTGTCACTACCACTCTAGGCCGAGGGAGGGAACCCAGTCCCCCGGATTGAAAACAGGGCACTATTTCCAATCCGAGACACGGTGATGGTTTTCTTTTTCCTCTAGGGGCAGGAGTGGTTCCCCGTGGTGAAGTCTGATATTTCATTTTTCCACCAGCAGTTTGCCTGAGGTCTTTCGTAGGGCACCGCCTCTTACAGGCATCAGACCAGTCCAGCCAGGTCAAGGTGAAATATGCGGGGAGTTTCCCCTCCTTCTTATTTGTTTAATAGTTTCCATCTCCATATTTGGAGTAAAAAAACAAGTAGGAGGCTTTCTCCGTCTTTCTCTCTCTCTTCTTTTCTGTTTTCTAATAGTTAACTGAGTTAGTGGAAAGTACCTGGTTAATAAGCCACAACATTGAAAACTCCCCCTTTTCAGGTGTGGACTGCACATTGGGACCCACAGAATTATCTAAGCAAACCAAGAACCCAGCTGGAAAATTACAAGTGCCCTACATCTACAAAGCAGGTCCTTTTGAGAGACCAAATGAATGTTCCAAACCTGACAAACTGATACCTTTAAACACAATTCACTATGGGCAATGTACTCTAAATAGGTAATTAAATCTAGCTCAGCTTCTTAACTTCTTAACTTATTTTCTTTTCTGGTTCCAAGTTTGAACAGCTCTAGTTTTGTTTTAGGTGGTCTTAAAGGAGTGTCCTGGAAAGTAGCTGGGATGGGGGTGAAGACTTTAAATTTGAACACAAAAGGAGCATTTTTAAGACCTTATTGGTCACTCTTCAATGGGGGAGCATGTGTATTTTCCAGAGATTATTTCACAGACACTGTAGTGCTACAATGAAGAAAATAAGTCAATTCATAATCCCTATAAAGAACGTGTGTCTAAGTGCACTCTACACTGTAAAGTTGTACATCAGAGTTTCATCACAGTTTTAAAAATCTGTCTTTTGATGTTGGAAATGTAAATGGCAATTATAGTAATAAATAAAATGTAAATTTATGTAATTAACAATTGGTGTAGTTTTGTGACACTGAATAGGTATGCACTAATTTTTAACTATACAAATCTTCTTTGACTTATAAATCCATCATAAGTTGAACATACTGTAAGTTGGAAATGCATTTAATACACCTAACCTACTGAACATCATAGCTTGGCCTAGCCTACCTTAAACATGCTCAGAACACTTACATTAGCCTACAGTTGGGCAGTATCATATAACACAAAGTCTGTTTTATAATGAAGTATTGAATATCTCATGAAATCTATTGAATACTGTGTCAAAAGTGAAAAACAGAATGTTTGTATGTGTACAGAATGGTTGTAGGTACATTGGCTGTGTACCATGTGAAAGTATGGCTGAATGGAAACAGTGGCTAGCTCATGCTGCCCAGCAAGAGTGGTGGGTATCCCACCACACATCACTAGCCTGGGGAAAGATCAAAATTTGAATATAGTTTCTACTGAACTCATATCACTTTTGCACCATTGTAAAGTCAGAAAATTGTAAGCCAAACTGTCATTAAGTCAGGGATTGCTTGTATTGTTAGATGTGTGTATAGTCTACATATTCTACATACTAGGCCCTAAAAACTGTGTAGCAAGAGGAATGAAACAGTTTGTAAATCTGCTGCAGGAAATTTTGGAGCCTTTTAAAAAGAAAGACTTCCATATTTTGTTGTATGAAACCCATGCGAATATGTATCAGGATGCCAGTTTTGTTTTATGTTGTTGTTGAAGAATAATTACAGCACCATTCATCACCACTTCCCAGTTGTAAAGAGGTTTTAATTCCGGTTATCGAGATAAACTAAGACTGTATCCCTGCTGAGACTGTGATCCTGGCAAGTTATTTACAAACAAGCTATCTGTACATTTTGGGCTATAAAGATAAAAGTGAATTCTCCTGACCCTTACAAATCATCTGTAGGGTTTTCTTTCACTAAATAAAATTAGGGTCTGGGAACAGAATTTGCTTTTTTCCAATGAGTGTCATTGGTCACCACAACTCATCCTTCTTTCTATAAGAAAATATGTAAGATGCTCTGAAGAAATATGGTATTGTTATCTTTGTCATATTACCTGAAGAATTCTAACAGAGAAAAAATATTCCAAAAGATAGCTAGTGGATTAATTCCTGTTTCTATGATGTTCTGCTGTCTTACTTTGAAATTTCTGGCAGCTAATTTTTCATCATTTGTAGTAATGAGAGCAAATGAATTTCACAGATAGTCTAAAAATAACATTTTAGCTATTCATTCCAGTCTTCCTATCATCAGATTCTTTTAATTGCTAATAAGTCATAAAATTAGATGAATTAAGTTTCTTCCCTACTCCTTTGATTTCTCCTTAATCTTGATTTCTTGCTAACTCAGTTTATGGTGAGAAATGAATAGGCTATAAATAGATAGTAGCAGTGAGAGAGACATATGAAAGAATGCTCCTTTTAGTGTGTATTCAGCCTTTATCTAGATTTTGTCCACATTATTGACCTCATGCATAGAGTTAAAACTATATGTACACTTTAATATTATATCTTTCTGAAGTTAGGATCAGATATTCAGTAGGTTATAAGGAAATGTTCACAAGATGTCTGTAATCTTGCTTCATCTACTGCTCTAGGGATATGATGAATGATCCAGTAAGTGGGATGTATTATTGTGAACATGACTTCTAGCTTCTTCCAGTGATAAAGACCATAAGCCACTGGAAGGTAGTTTTCACTGAAATATAACATAAGGTAGTGTTCCTCGTACAGTGGACTGAAGACTGCCTACAATCTAATCATCTGTTGAGTGATTTCTTGGCTCTATTCCAGGAGATTCTGAAATCATAGATCTTGTGTGGTATCCAGCAGTATTTATTATTATAATATCTTCAAATGGCTCCTTAAGTACTGAGGTTCAAGAACCCCTACCATAATAGATTAATACAGAAACTCCTCAAAGACCTCTTGTGTGTTTATTGATAAACTCCAGTGTCAGATGCAAAGTCAAAGAAACATGAATTGCTAGAGCCAAAGTCTCTTCCCAAAGTATTCTATGAATGATTGACTCTGTGAGATGTTTTTGGAAACAGACTTGCATGACTAAGCTTGGGAAATGCTACATTAAAGTTAAGTGAAATCCTTTACTGGAAGATTTTACAGAAACTTATACAGGATACATGCAGCTGGATTCTCCAAAAGAAGAACCCGTTTTCAAAGAACATTTCAAAGACCAGTTTCCATAAAGCACACTGCCAAATGAATCCTATTTTACAAAAAATGGAAACTAAGAACCAGATTGGAGAGGAGACAGACCTTACGTCCTGAAGAAAATTACTGAGCAGACAAATCAGCGCTCTGAGTCTTGTCCACTATCTCATATCAGTGACGACTTTTGGTTTCAAGTAACAGAGTCAGACTGTGACAGTCATAAGTGAAAAGGGAAATTATTGGAAGGAAATTGGGAGCTCACAGAATGAATAGGAGACTGAGAGACCAGGATTGAAAAAGGTCAAAAACCAATGAAGGCATAAGCCAGGGCAGTAAGCATCCTGCAAACAAGAACACTTTTCTAATCATCGCTTCTTCTTTGTACCATTTGCTCAAGATGCAGAATCCTGGCTGGGAATGTTGAATTTTCAGAACTTTAGTCACAGGACAGTCCCCTGGCCTTTTGGGGGTAGAAGGGTAGGAGGAGAAGCTCTTGCCTTTGGCTTCCTCAGTGGAAAATATAATACTCTTTCCCAATAAGATGACACAAAATCACATAGGTTGAGGAAGGGAGCCCTGTAAAGTGACAAATGCTCATCACTCAGATATCCTGACTTCCACTAACTACTGGTTTGCATTACAGTTGGATTTTGGGTCACAATGCAGCTTTAATTTAACTACCCTGCCTACTAACTGATACTTTGGTTAGTGGTATTAGTTATCTTCATGGGTACTTTTGAATGAAACATTTTCTATGTGCAGTCTAATCCTAGCTTTCTGTTACTTTTCTGTAAGCTGCAGTTGCCCACAGTGATAACTTTATTCAGACATACTTTTCACTGGCCGCCTTTTCCTCCCTCATTTCCCTACTGTTCCCTAGCATTTCCTTATCTCAGGGTCCTCTTCTGGAGGAATCTAACCTAAGACAAATAGCGAATGAGCCTGGAAACCACTCTCTGGAGTCCTCCATGTGTGAATTTGAATTTTATTCTTGTCTATATTAGGCAACCCACAGAATAAAAAGTACAGGAGATTTAGAGCCTGAAAAAAACTGAATCTTACTTAGCAGCTGTAGAACCACAGGCAAATTACTTATTTTCTCTAAGCCTCAGTTTATTCACTTATGTCCAACAAAATGAAAATAACTACCAAAATTGCAAATTAAAACAAAGAGATACCAGTGTACTTCTATTGGAATGACCAAAGTCCAGACACTGACAACTGGTGAGGATATGGGACAGTAGGAATCCTCATTCATTGTTGGCATGGAATGCAAGAGGTACAACTCCTTTGGGGGAGTTTCATGGATTCTTTACAGAACTAAACACACCCTTAACGTATAATCCAGCAATTGCACTCCTTAATATTTACCCAAAGAAGCTGAAAATTTATGTCCACACAAAAAAACCTGCACACAGATGTATATAGCAGTTTTATTCATAATTGCCAATATTTGCAAGCAGTCAAAATGTACTTTCATAGGCGAAGGGATAAATAAACTGTGGTATATCCAGAAAATGGAATATTGTTCAGTGCTAAAAAGAAATGCGCTATCAAGCCATGAAAAGATATGAAGAAAACTTAAATGGATATTGTTAAATAAAATAATCCAGTGTGAAAAGTCTACGTAATGTATGATTCCAACTATATGACATTCTGGAAAGGCAGAAGTGTGGAAATAGTAAAAAGATGGTTGCGAGGGTAAGGCGGAGGGAACAATAAATCAATGGAGTGCAGGGGAGTTTTAGGGCAGTTAACTAACTCCACATCATTGTATGTTTGTCAAAACCCGGAGAATGTATGACATCAAGAGTGAACTTTAATGTAAACTATGGACTTCGGGTGATAATGATGTGTTGGTATAGGTTTAGTCATTGTTTCAAGTGTACCACTG